ACAATAATTTTTTTTTAATAAATTTTAGTCTTATCTTTTTATTCTTCCATTTTTTTAGTGGGTGAACCATCTTTTGGTCATTACATCGATTTGGCAGCAGGGATGCGAATGTCCGGTGGCGGCGGAAGTCGAAGAAGAACTGGCTAAGTTTAAGTTGGATTACGACAATGCCCAATAATGATGTAATGAATGTTTTTTTTTTAATTATTATTGTAAAACATTAAGTTGAATGGTTTTTTATTATTTATTATTTGTAAAACATTAAGTTGAATGGTTTATATTAAAAATGAAAAAAAAAAGTACCATTAATGCGATTTTCGATTGCCCTGTAACACGAACGTATGTTCCTGCGCTTCGAGACAGGCTCGTTCTCCTGAGAGTCCCGATGGGTCGACTCAGGAGAACGAGCTTGTCTCGAGCGCAGGAACATACGTTCGTGTTACAGGGCAATCGAAATCGCATTAATGGTACTTTTTTTGTCATTTTTAGTACATAAATCATTCAAATTAATGTTTTTTTTTTTTTTTTTTTTTTGCTAAACTTAAGTTGAACTGATTCATTTTCTTTTATTTGCTAAACTTAAGTTGAATGAGAAGCGTCATACCACAAGTGAATAATATCGTTCTTTTATTCAAGAAGGTTTTGTTTGAACAGTATGCCACAATCGCAACCTAACCTCGTACTGATCCTCCCAACCCACAACCGATTGATCTCGGTAACGGAATCACATGGAATGAATAGGCGGTAATGGACAATCAGGAGTCAAATCTAAACGAATGTAGTGTGCTACGGTACCAAGATGGCACATGGCAATCTCAGGACATGGTCCTCTAGCCGATGATCGTGCAATGAGAGGCAACACTGTGATGCTGAATAAGTCGTGCTGCCCACCTTGCGGACCAGAGCTCAACAGAACGACAACCACATTAAATAGGGTCGCAACGGCGTAGAGGTCCTGCGGAACTTCGAACCAGTGAGCCCGTCCACAAGGGCCGTTGCTTACGCGACGGAGTCCGGCGTCGATATCTCTAAAATAGATATACTCGTACAATTCATGGTGGCTGTCGACCTCCTTCGCAATGCTTTCTCTTGCATCTGCCCAGTACTTCTGGTGACCATACATGTGACTCGCGATGACCCAAAATCCGCAGTTACCATCCGCATCTACATTCAGGTAACTCACTATGTAGTCCAACATATGCCAGGGGATATTTTGCCACATTGAAAATCCAAATATATTTGTCAGTCTAAACTCTGCAGTAAATATCATAATAATTTCACGTCACAATTTATATAATCATATAAATACTTTAATTAACGCTCAGCCATATTTAAAAAAAAAAAATGTATGACCTGCTTCTCCTTGTCGATTTTCGACCTCGCGATCTATCGTTGTACTCAAAAGTAGATGGTTTACGCTTAGTTGAATTAGTTTTCTTGGGACGACCTCGCGGGTTATCCTTAACCTTAGGTTTCGCATAATTCTGTTGGTCTGGGTAAAGATGACTGTACATGAACTGATTCACGTACCGCATCGTCACGGGATCGCGGGTTTCAACCTCACTCACAAGCGTCTGAAAGAACTCCGCATCTGACCATGCAGCCTGGCTCGCCTGGCTCTGATGACCAGTCCCTACAAGTATACGATAAAAAATTCAATGAATTAAATCAAATAATGTATTTTAATAGAAAATTATAAATAAAAAATTAACCTTAAATTACCTGGCTCTTATATCTGTAGCGTTCTCCAGAACTGGTGATTCATTCCGAGATCAATCGGAATTTTGAAATCAACTACGTTACGAAGCAGACAGGCACAAGGAAGTCTATAAGTGAACTGCAATACACAGCCGCAGCTAGTGTAAACATCGGCGTCCAAGTCGTGCATCCTCGTAAGCTCAGCGTCCAATAAACTCAGACAGTAATGCGAGACCCTCAGTATCACGCTCGCGAAAAGGATTCCCTTATACCGTGTATTCTTCTTAGATCTCGAGGCCTCAAGCGCCGTCCTGATAATACGTTACATAACGTTAGATTATAATTAATTAATGCAATAATATAATAACGCATTTAAAAATTGCAGTACGTACTTGATTTCAGTCACTTGATTATCGATGTGCTTATTAATCTTCTGCCAAATTGTATCGAGCGCGCCGGTGGACGTGTGAAGCCACTCCTTCAACACAGAGTGGGCACTCTCCACCCTACAGGAAGTTGTATTTCCAAAATGTGTCATTCGGTTAGTCCAAGCCTTCATAAACCTCTCGCGGTGCCCTAACCATGTGCTCTCCACATACCATATCACCTCTGGAGACTTCGAATATTTTGCGTGCAGCTCGGCAACGGCATCGGTGTAGGCATCGAACGTACTGGCCTCTGCAATCGCCTTCCACGTACTGTGCTTGAAAATCTCCAAGAATTTTTTACTCTTCCCAAATAGTTTGTAGGTTTTTTCTTCCACATCCTTGTTGATGTGCCACGTGCAGAGTAAGTGGGCTGATTCAAGAAAATGCCTCTGAATAAGAGTGAGTAAACCCAACTCTCTGTCACTAACAACAACATAAGGATATACGTATTGGCCTATCAGTAGTCTCAACTTCTCTAGAACCCAGTCGTAACTGGCCTCTTTCTCGTCCCTGATGAGCGCATACGCAATTAGGAAGTTCTGGTTGCACGGTGTCATCCCAATCATCTCGACCAACGGCATCTTGTACCTGTGCAAATGAGACCAACAAGACAAAAAATATAATCAAATAAAAGTTTACTTAATCAAACACACTATTTAAGATTCATACTAATAAAGTATTTATAAAGTAACATACCTATTGGTTTTATATATGGAATCTATGCCGACATACCAGTGATATGTTCGGAATAAATTGATCGACGCAGGATGAGCCATGAATATATGCGTCAACGCTTTCGTGTTCGGATCGGATTCTGCATAAACTGTATACTCGCTGCTCACGGCAAAATGCATAAGCTGGGAAGGAACGTCTCTACCGTCGAAACTTTCTTTCCGCAGTTTATCTCTAAAGTTATACACCTTTCACCGATTAGCGTTAATTATAATAATTATTATAATTTAAAACAAAAAAAATATTATATTAATAAATAAAAAAGTATATTAATGCGATTAATTTGATAAAAAAATTATTAACTATCACAATAATAATACATTAGTAAATATAATAAATATTATTAATTATTACAATAACTTTTACATATAAAAAATTATTAATTATCATAATTAACTTCAAAAAGTTAATTGAAACATATATTACAAGATATAAATATATATACCTGTCGCACATGAACGTTGTCTCCCGGATTCTTTTCCTTCAGCGCGGCCATAATTTTTGTCGGGGCCACCTGAGCGTCCGTCATATCACGAACAATTTTCTTAGATGAAGCACTGAGGCCGCTCAACTGGCGATGACCCTCAGGATACACAACAAATGTATGGTTATGGTAGCCATTCTCTTCATTGCTACATTTACAGATCCTCCAGTATGGAGCGTCGGACACCTTTTTTACTTTGATCTCAAAATTGCAGTCGCACTTATACGTTTTTGTCTTTCTAGAATTTCCGTCTGTGCGTCTGTACCGTTCGCCTATATGGCACTTCAAAAGCCTGACCGTTTTCTTTTTGTGGCTCGAAATTATTAATAGGAAACCATTCAGCATTGTCTGGTGTTTTGCAGCTTCAATAGCGTCCTGAGCACTATTAAATAATGTACAGGTATCGAAACTCAGACTGTAATCAACACCATCTCCTAATCTTCCCATGACTCCTGCTATATAGTACAATATTTATATTTTTAGAGCATGTTAAATTAAGATAATTAATTCTAGCATGTAACATAATAATTTGTCACTCATAACATGATATTATCTAACGTCCAATATATAGCATAATGAAGTCTAACATGTAACACAATAATTTGTAACTCATAACACGATCACGATAATATCTAACGTCCAATTTATAATATAATCAACTATAACATGTAACATAATAATTTGTTACTCCTAACACGATACTATCTAACGTCAATTTATAACATAACCAAGACTAACATATAATATAATAATTTCTAACTCGTAACACGATCACGATAATATCTAACGTCCAATTTATAATATAATCAACTATAACATGTAACATAATAATTTGTTACTCCTAACACGATACTATCTAATGTTAATTTATAACATAACCAAGACTAACATGTAATATAATAATTTCTAACTGTTACGATAATATCTAACGTCCAATTTATACCATAATCAACATGTAACATAATAATTTGTAACTCCTAACACGATAAACGTCCAATTTGTAGCATAATCAAGTCTAAAATGTAACATAATAATCTACAACATAATAATATAATCCAATTTATAACATAATTATTTCGAATATGTAACATAATAATTTAAAAAACAAAAAAAAAACAGAAAAAAAAATTGTCCGGCCGACGGAACCGGACGGACCGGTTCCGACCGGCCGTCGCCACCGGACGGATTTTAAGCCGTCCGGCCGGCCGGTTCAGACATAGCCCGTCCGACCGGCCGAACTTTTCGGACGGCTTTTAACCCGTCTGAAAAGTTCGGCCAGACGGCTTATAATCCATCCGATTCCGACGGCCGGACGGGCTAAAAGCCGTCCGGTTCCGACGGCCGGACACAAAAAATTTCGTACCTCCGAATTTGACGACATTTCACCGTACACTTTCCTCTGAGATGTTTAGAAAAAATGAAAAGGGCAAAATCGTACAAGGGTAAGGTCTGCGTACAACTAATCCTCCAGAAGAAAGGGCAAAATACGTAAGACAAAATAATAACTAAAAAATAAAATAACACCCTCCCCGTCTACCATCTAGCTCGCCATTGCCACTGCTACAGCCTACACAAGTGAGTAGCTGAAGAAAACCATCTTGCTCAGGACTACTACTTACTTTC